CATTCAAAGTACTTGTGGATGAGTTTGTCAAAGAACTTGTTTATAGCTTGTTAGCATATAGCACCATCACTTTTGAAGCCGAAAGACATGATTGTTACACTAAGTTTCAATTGGGATTTTGAGTGTAATAAGCTCCTCATCTTCATGAGCCACCTTGATTTGATTATAGCCCAAAGATTTGTTCATGAAGAAAAAAATTGTGTGAAAAGACAATGTCGACCATTATTTTCGATATGAGTAAAGAAAATTCTCTTAGGATCTTCAAAGTCTATGCAGACACAAATATGTTCATTTTTTTTTATCACTCAACACTAACTACAAAAAAGATAATTTTCTCCTCAAATAAATGCAACATCTACTAACTTTTCAATGTCATGCTCACTTTTTATTTGATCTCCACTCTCATTCGTCGAAAAGCATGCCTAATCAATATTATATTAGGCTGTATATATAATTTACATATTGCAACATCGAAAGATAGTCGCAGCAAGTTTTCATGGCTCTAGGCAAAAGAGTCCTTAAACGCTACCAAGTAATTTTAAAAGATCATTACTCTCTCTCATTTAAAAGCAAACTTATAAATAAGGTGAATATTCTACAATAAAGATTAATCATTCATTCTTCAAAGAAAATTTTATTTTAAAATTTTAATATATGAAGGTGGTGCCATATTTTTAGTTTTTCGAGAAAATGTTAGTTTTAGGCTATTTTTGGGCATATAAGAACCTGTAATGGCTCCTAGGCGTCCAGAGACTGGTGTCAAATTGTTGTGCTCTCGGGTTGGATTTCTAGGGCACCAGGTTAGCTCGAAACCCTGATTTTCATCGGGAGCGCCCGACAGAGGATTTCTCGATTTGTAAGCTACGGAAGACTTTGTATGAGTGAAATGAAATCCCGTAACTCCAAAACAGAGTATTTAAATCGGTAAATCACCGGGGAAATCAATGTCAATGGTCGTACTAAACTACGACGCGGGTAGGTTGTCATAAACCCTAACTTTCCCGTAGCACGCGTGGGTGGACTCTGTGACTTCTCTGGGTTATAGAGGCTTCAGAGGGATGTGTGGTGACTTCTATTCATTAAATTAGATACCAAGAAAATCTTATGTCTCGAATGACCGTTCCGATGGCAGGTTTTCCTGTGTAAGGTTGAATTGTCGCCAACCTTAGCTTCTTGCCCCAAACAAGTCCTAGAGAGTCCTAGGAGGGTGTCTAGAGCTACCGAATGCTACAGACAAACCGTAGACTGCCATGAGTCATGCAGGTGGACACCATATGCTCATAACATTTAAAAATCATTCGAGTAGTCTCCTTTTCTACTTTTCTTGGGATATGTTGCAGACTCAGCGCCACTAGCCTCTTTTATATTTTGAAGTCTTTTTACTTTAGTTGTGTATTTGCATGCTTGGATTGTTTTTCTTATTTCTTTATGGTTTATCAAGAATGTCCCAAAAATTACTTAGACTTCTAAGACAGTAAAATTGGAACTTTTTCTATATTAAAATCATAATAAAAGATTCAAGCTAAATTAAAATTTAGGATGTACATATTTTTAGATATTGCTCTTTAATGAAATGTATTTGTGTGTTTTTCTTTCAAGTACAATCAAAAGGATGAAAATTTGTAAAAAGAGTGAAAAGTACATATTGAGATATTGAATGGACATATTTTTATGCCTAATTTTGAGATATTGTTCTTTAATGAAAGATATTTATGTGTTTTTCTTTCAAGTA